AGGGGTAAAACTTCTAAGGTGGCTGTCTAAGTTGGGATTGATGATGCTTGTAATGCTTCACTCAATGAATATCCTGTTGTAGCAAAGTAAAACAAAGCATCCCTGAGGGCTGGCTTTCATTGCTTCATGTCTGCAAGGGTAGAGGGACCCCTGTGATTCTCAAAGATGTTTCCTGCTATCTGATCTAGAAATGATGCTGTGTGACTGTAGCAAGGAATGTGTTCCAGTTCAGCACTGAGGAGCTGCAACATCAGATCCTATAAGCTGAGGAACTTAAAAGGGAGATGGCATGTGGAATCCCATGGGGTTCTAGGATTTACATCAACAGAAGAAAAGAGGGAATTAAAAAAAAATAGAAGAAAAAAAAAAAAAAGCTGTAACTAGTGATATTGAATATTTCTGTCTTATGGATGCTGTAAGAGACAACTCACATCGTACTATGTAACACCAAATAACAATTTTTTGTTATTTGTACTTTTGTACTTTACAAGACAACTAAGTGAATTCTTTTTGATACGTTTACAACCTACAGTAAAATGTCAACAAAGTCCCTTATGTGAGAACATCTGAAACAGCACTGGTCAGCACTAATGCTTTGATAGCTTAGCCTGAATAAGAGACAGGCATATTCAGAACACCAGAAGAATGCAAAGACAAGTCAGATTTTGCTTTTACGAAACAGGTGTCTGTTTCAGGACAGGACATACTTTTTCCCCAAACTGACAAAACTTTGAATATACAAAATTGTCTTGTTTTAAATCATAAGCAGTGAATGGTGCAACCACAATATCTGAAAACAGCATGTTGGAGTGTCGAAGGAACAAAGCGTAATGTACGAAAAAGTGAAATGGGTGCACTGTGCTTCAGCTGTCTGTCTTCCCATGTTTGGTCATATTCCAAACCACTATACCTAGTTTAAAATGCTGCTAAGGACCTGAGAAATCTAATTTACACCATAGCCAATATACTCAGGCATACATGTTTCAGAATCAGGCCCTTAAAATACAAATAGTTTGTATTCTGCACTGAGAACAACATAAAAATAGCACAACAGGTACTAAAATTTGTAGCCAGAGAAAGAAGGTTGGTTTGTATTTGTGTCTGTAGAACATAGTGTTATTCTATATTCATAGCAAATGTATCATTCTAATTTTCAATCAATATTCCATTACTTTGTAAACTAATACCTAATTGATGATAAGATTAAAATTATTGCAGTGGGTTTGGTTGTTTACTTTTCTTAACCACTTATAAAATAGGAAAATAACAAATGCATTTTGCATCTACTTAATTGCAATTTTATTTTGCATATGAAATTCCATAACCTAGTATATTTCAATAAATATTTATTATTTATTTTCTCCTGATTTTGGTCCTTGTTTTTCATTTTGAAAGGGAGAAAGTTTTATGTTTGAAGGGAAACGTAAGTTTTTATATATGATGCTCAAAATACTAAAAATTTTAGTAATTATACTCAATATAGTATTAATAATTAATCAGGTGCAAACAATGCATTTACATTTTTTTGTTTTGTAACAGCCAACATAAAGGACTGATCATTATTAGATAATCACAGAATATTAGACTCCTTTATGTATTACTTATGCTTTACATTACTTATGCTGAGTATCAAAGGTCTATAACCATCTTTGTTTACAGTGATAAAGATATATATTGCAGATGAGCAAAAAGTGAATTGGATTGGGGTAAAGGTTATTAAAAAGGTAATTATTTTTCCTTTTTTTTTTTCCCCCCCTCAGTGATACGTTTTGCAACATAGTAAAATTGTCCTAAGTATCTTATGGTGGACAAAGTAAATGTGTGATTTATATTATGACTAAAAGCAGACTACACTGCCCAAAAGGATTGAGATACAGAATTTTGCCATTGTTCACATAATGACACCATTTAATTTTTCTGTATCCAAAGAAATTTGAATTAATAGAGCAAGCTAAGACAGCTACATTTCTCTAAGAATCTTTGCACTTTCTTCTGAGAAGAAAATATTTCAGGTATTTGATTATTCAAGGAAGATAAAAGCGAACACTATTCATCATCAATATAAGTAGGCTACCATAGACAGATTTTTATTTTGCTACCTTCTGAAATGTATTTTAAGGAAAAGACATGTAAAGTAAACTTCTCAGATTGAAGTAAATTTAGATCAAGTACATTAAGAGCCTATTCTTTTTATGTTGAAACAAGCGTCCCATATAATAAAAAGGAGCATCTTGAAATATATTTAGAACTTGTAATTTTTACCAAAAAACATTACTCTCATTTCTTGTAAATTATTAAATCTTTTGCAGATTTCTATGTCATACCAATTCTGAATTCAAAGGGAAACTCTACATCTCTAAAGCTGCAAAACTGAGTGTGATAAGCATGTGTATTTTGAACCAGTTTTGTTGCTTGTCAAAATTAGTATTTGAGAGAAATGCTTAATTTTGGCTCAGAAAACTGCATTCCTTTCATTTAAATAGGCTAGCTCTGAACTTCCCTTTCCACTCACCCTTCTGCTTCTCTTCTGCTCCCTGATGTCACATTGAACCCTCTGCTGTAATCATGGAATCATAGAATATTTAGGGTTGGAAAGGACCTTAAGATCTAGTTCCAACCCCCCTGCCATGAGCAGGGACACCACACACTAAACTATGTCGCCCAAGATGGAACAGCAACAAACTTCAGCCACTGTTTGATGGCAGCTAGAACAAAGGTTTCCTGAGAAATTTAAGATTCTAAGGTTTAGTGAGAGCTGGTGTGAGCAAAGGAAGTCTTTATGTACTGTTCCCTTTGGGTTTCTGCCAGAGCATTCAATTAAAGGCTTTACTGTTTCATATCTAGAGAGTCACAAACTTTCAAAAGTTGATCAGGCTTTCAAGAGATCCTCAAATATCTTTCTTTGCTGCTTTGAATTTTTGGCTGAGAAATCCTCCTTTTCCTAATAGTCAATATATAGGCACAGTCATTTATATGTTCCCAAAGTTAGCTTCCCATATTAGTAAATACACTGAAAATATGAATTTGAGATATTTACTATTCATAACAATTCTTTCTTGGAATATGATAAACAAACGACAGACATAGGGAGAGAAGGGGAAGAGGTGGTGGTATCAGCTATTTTAGATATATGATCATCTTTTACATTTTGAAGAGAAAAAGTAAAATATAGGTTTGTGTTACAAAGACTTAGGTCATCCTTGCTTCTGGAGTCTAATGTTTTCTATTCACTAGGTATTTCTGAAAATACTAAAATGGCTGATGGGATGCTCTGGCTGGAAATGATGAAGATTAGGAAGTAAAGATACGTATTTTGACCAGGAAATTATTAAAAAGTTCTATCTTATTTTCAGACTCTAAAAAAGAAAAATCCATTCTCAAGTGAATCTAAGCATTTACTTTGATGCATGGAAGTGACCTCCAATACTTTCAGCCTGTGATGTGAAAACACTAGCTTCACAGGGTGTGGGGAACACAACATAGTAAACATAGAGGCTATAACTGTAATAGTCACTCAGCCAGCAGACACCCCAAAACTGAGAGGCTGTTCTAGCACACATCTCAGTAGAAATAACTTCAGAGAAAAAGTGAGAACAGCGTGAGATTTCCCTACCACTACCAGATCTTTAGCATTGGAAGTAACCAAACACTATGCACTTAAAAGGAAGACTGGAAAGATCAGCACATGGCAACTTATTAGCAACAGGGTAAAAAAATTGTTCTCTTTAAAATTTCTGAGTTCTGAAGGATTGCAGGTTGTGGCACAGCAAGCTCTGTCATAAGAAATGTGGTACGCAATAATAAACATCAGGTCTTGACCTCTTCTGAACAAATTATCACATTATACCTTACACCCCATGCCCAATGACTATGGAAAACAACACTCTATCAAAAGAATGCAAGCTATTTCCATTCCCAGCACAGAACAGGGGAAGTACAATAGAAAACCTTACAATATGATCACATTAAAAATATTTTCAGTTACTTAACAACCTTCCTACCCTCAGGAAGTCAAGTATATGACATGTCGGTTTGTAGTTCTTTAGACAAATGACCAGATATGCAGGGTATGTTTTCTTATTTAAAACACACATAAAAAAAAAACCCAAACCAAAAACAAACAAACAAACAAAACCCCAACATTCTGTTGATACTTCTTTACTTTTCTACAAAGGGTTTTGGCAAAAAAGGAGCACTTTTCTCTCCTAGAAATAATATTTTGTGAAATAAACGTGGGACAATCTGAAGAAAATATTACATTATAGCAGATTTTAAAGGAAAACCTTTCTTTTTATAATATATTTTGGTGGTTTTCCAAGTTAATTTTATGACCGGTTGGCAGCCAAACAAGCTAATGTCACTCTCCTCTAATAAGCCTGCAGGTTCATTAACTTGACCAGAACAAACAGATCATGCATAGTGAAAGGTAAATAACATATACAGTTTTAAAAAGATGAGAAAACAAATCAAGATTTGTAACTACAACTTACTATTTTTTTCCAAATGATATTTGATTGTCAACCTAGCCTTCCACCCAAGCATTTCAAATTGATACTTGTTCTGGCATTATACAATTAAAGATTAACATGTAACACGAGAAAAGTAAGGCAAAGAAGAGGATATTCGTTTTAAGAGTCCTTCTTTCATGAATGAATCCAAATTTTTTGCCAAGTTGTTCTGTAGCAGATTCAGGTAAGGTAGTTTCAGCAAATGCTTGAAAAACAAAAATGCCATCTACTTCAAATACCACATGTTCCTGTTCAAAGTCTTAAAATCAAATATCTTAGGGCAAAAAGTAAACTAAAAAATAAAAATACCCCCCCAAAAAAGACCCAAACCAACCAAAAAACCAAAAAACACATATTTAATGGAAGAAGAAAAACCCTAAAAATGTATTTCAAAGTAAATTTGATCAGGCAGTTAGAAGTAGCTTTCGGATTGCTATTATAACAGTCAGTTATATACTCAACTCGGCATTTTGCAACCTAGAAGTATCATACCTGAAATGGCTTAGAGCTGCTGATGTAGAGTGTCTGTTTGATCCATCTGTTTTCTTGATTTCCAAACTTGTACCACAACAGCCATCCACCAGTATTACTCACAGTTCTCTGGAAGACTGACAGCTTGTAAACTTGCTTTCCAAACATATGATAATGAAAGCGAAAAATGCAGGTTCCATTCCCAGAAGGGTTGAAGAGAGGACTAAGCAAAACTGCTTTATCTTTGAATTGGGATGGAGCAGAGGACTCCATGTAGAGATAGTGTCCCAATACTGTGCCTGTTGTGTGATCCTTTAATGGGCCTGTATTAACTGTGGGGGTTGGACCCTGTATTCTGATCCAGTCGAAGTCATCCTCAACATCCTGCTCCCAGTTGCACAGCCCATTTTCAAAGTTGCACTGTAGGTCAGGGTCTGAAACATAAACAGAATAGACTGTCAAGCGAAAGCAGTATCAAAAGGTGATGGTGCTTTAATATATTTTTCTCCTTGCAAAAATGTCTAATATAGAGAAAAACACATATCTTCTTGCAAAAATTCCCCTCCGAAGACTAAGTACACACTTCCCTGGACCAAAAAAGAAAAATAAATCTTTACTTAATTGCCTCCTCTTTCAATATGTATCTGTCAAACTGTACATAATTATTGAATAAACATAACTGTAAATAAAATTTTATTATTCACATTATTAAATTTATGTATTTTTATAATTAAAACATGCCAAGTTTTTTAACTGAAATTTAACTGAGTAAAGGAGTTAAGGAGTTAAAACTGAGGTTAATTGGATTAAATAAACTACACAATTCAGTCTTGTAGTATGTGTAATAACTGATCTAATGTATTTTTGCACAGCAGAAGTAGTCCTAAAATGGCTTGTGGTTTAGATCTTTATTACCCTCAGTAATAGCAGCATGATAGCTTTATCAATGCAAAATTCAAGAGAGGCATTTATAACACTTTATTATTATAACTTTATTTGACACCAAGGCAAAATATATTGATTAGAACAATTACTTTTAATGTAAAAAAATAAAATGGGTATCAGAGGTGGAAAACTTGCATTTCATCATTGCATCTGCCCCTCATAAACAGTAACTGACACAATAGTCTTTTTGTTAATTAAGCTGTTAATTTTTGATGTTTAAAGCTGGAAGTCACATAATACTTTCTTACTGTAGACCTCAAAATGGGTTATGAAGAAGATAGACATTTTACAAGTGGGAAAAATGAGATAGGCTGTAAAGCCTTCACTTTCTTTTAAATTCAGATCAGTATTAAGTTGACATTCAGCAAACATCAGTGCAGCCTCATATGCCCTCAAGCATATAAGGTGTCCCCTGTTCCTCAAACTCATTGTGATTTGCATAATTTAGTTACCTCAGGACATGATAAAGCAACTGCTAGTTAATTTTATTTTATGTTAATGTTCTTGAGTTCTTAAAATTGATGAATGCATGCTTCGGGGAGAAAATCATCAGCAGCACCTTTCAACACTGCAAGCTGAATGTCAAAAACGTGAACAACCCAGAGCTTTCCTCAGTACTTAGAAATTCTTTCTTTAAAAAAGAATAGTTATGCCCAGCATGGATAGTATCTTCTAGTACAGACATTTTAAGTTTTCTAGGTAGAAAAGGCATAGGCCATAAAAAAAGACAGGACATACACTCCTCTTAGCCCATATACATCTTCCACTGTATTACCATCAGTAGAATCAAAGACAAAATCATCCGGCATACTGAGAATCCTTTTTTTAACCTTGTAATGCATGTGTGTGTTTGTCATGGTTTAACCCCACATGGCCCTCTCAGCCCCTCAGGTGAGATGGGGAGAAGAATAACAACAGAAACAACGACAACAATAACACTAATAATAAAACTTATAATAATAGGGAACAAAAAAAGAAAAAAAAAGGAGAAGTAAAATTTCAGAAAACGCAAGTCATGCACAGTACAATTCCTCACCATCTGCAGACTGATAACCAGCCCACCCCTGAGCAGCAAAGGGGGCTCCTGGCCAACTCCCCCAGTTTATATACTAAACATGACATGCTGTGGCACGGTATCCCTTTGGCTAGTTAGGGTCAGCTGTCCTGGCTCTGCTCCATCCCAGCTTCTTGTGCCCCTCCTCACTGACAGGACATGAGACTGAAAAGTCCTTGATGAGGCTAAGCACTACTTAGCAACAACTAAAACATAGGTGTAACACACCATATGCATTTAAGTTAGAAAACCAACCAACCAAACAAACAAAATCTCAGTCTTTTTCATCAATACCTATATTCAGTTGAATCACCACCGGCTGTGACATTGATAGGCTGTAACTTTTGTACAATGTGTTTTTTTACATCAGGGATGAATTTGACAAGTAAAATTTGGTTTGATATAAAGCAAGCAGTAACGGAAATTACTTACTACAGTTGTCTTCATCTGATCCATCCCCACAGTTATCCACAAGATCACAGACCAATAAACTGTCAATACATGCTTTTGTGTCTCTGCACCAGAAACGATTAGGACCTTCACAAATTAATGCTGGAGGTGGAAGAGCACAGTTTTCAAATGTAATATCATCAATTGCTGAGACACCATCATAAAAACCCAGGCTGATTTTATCAAGTGAGAATTGGAAAGGATGTGGAAGACGTCCAAGCTGAATGACTGCCTTCAACCATTGATCTCCCTCATTGTAATATGCCCTCCAAAGAACAGTAGGCTGTTTCAGCCTATCCACAAGCAATTGCATCTCTGCAGCCCCAACTGACTGTCCGTAATTGTAATACCTAAAATGATTTAAAAAAAAAAAGTTAAGGGTGAAAAATAATGAGAATGGATCACATCATGTATAATGGCCAGGATAATTTTTTGTTACAGCTCTGTGAAATATGGGAAGTCCAGAGTGCCTATTTTTTAGCTTCATGTAATTCAATCTACCTACATGTAATTCAATCCACTTTCTGCATGACGGTAGCATAGGCTGCTGTATCAGTCTAAGGTACATTTCAAGAACTGAAGATCATAAGAGAAGCACGCTTCATTAAACCCCGTAACTGAAGAGACATTTCCTTTCATATTAAGCAATGCACACTGCTCTCTCAGATGCACATGTTTTATAAATTTAATTCAATACATAATTTAAAGGTTTCAAGAAGGAAGAACAGAACACTTACTGAATGCAAAAGTACACATTGTACTTGTGTTATTGTTAACATGTTTTATTTTACAGCATTTCTGGAGCATCTCAAAGCATTAAAAAAGTCACAAGTACTTAGGTGAGCAATTGTGCAACAAAACTGAGAACAGAACCAGGAACAGAATCAACAGTTTGTAACTTCCAGACCTATACTCCAACTTCAAATATTGAGTCTTTGATAGAAAGGCATTGCCTCTTCCTATGGTAAATGTATTTGACATTAGTGAGAAAAACTGCACTTAATATCATCAAAGTCAGGCCAAACATTTATTTAAACAGTAGCACTACTTTCGACCTTAGTAGATGAATTGTTGTCACTTTTTCTGTCCCTCTTTGACAAGATTGCACAAAGACTGAAACAAGACAGTAACTGAAAGTTGATTGTTTTGTGTTTTGTTTAGTTTTGTCTTTTTTTTTTTCTTCCCCTCTGTGTATCTAAAGAAACGATTAGAAGTAAAGCACAAATTCTGGCACAGGAGCTTTTGCTTAAAGATGATACAATCTAATTTTGGATACTGTAGGTAAATCAAGGGGCTACTAGATTTTTTGATGGTTTCATTTTCTTGAACAAAATTCCACAATGTTTTCCAATCCTCCTAAGTAGAAACATTAGTATTTTTGTGGTATTTTTCTGTGCATGTGTAGACACAGTCCTTTAACATAATCTTACTCAAAGCCTGACAACAGTCATCCCATGTTTCAGTTCTGTTCTCCAACTGCTTCAACTTATTTCTGCATGTTCTCAGTGAAGTGTATATGATTAAAAAATAAAAAGAAATAAATACTGCAGAGGAAGGTGTGTCTATTGCAAACTATAACCTCAGTTTCAGTCCAAGAGAAGCAATGTGAGACAATCCATAATTTTAAATCTAAATTATTTCATACCAAAAGGACAACGTGCAATTTGATCCAGTTTGTCTGAACTTTGGGCTTCGTAGCTGAGCTATTTGTGAAATGCTGCTGCTGTTTTTCAGAATGAACATGAAATGACCTATCAAATTAAAACAGAAAACAACTTTTCAGACTGAAGCAAAGAAGTGTATCTAAAGGTTTTTAAGCATTTATGGCCTGTGTTTAAAAATCTGATTAAAGGGCAGGTGATTCTATTCAACTACTCTGTTCCTTACCTTCAGGCTTGTCACACGTGTGATCCCGAAGGGGAGCTTGGTTCTGAAAAGCAGGTGCAAGAGCGCTACTGGAACTTCTTACCCAGTCAAAGCCATCTGCATTTGCAGTTTCAACCCAGCCACAGCTGTCTCTTTCAAAGTCACATACAGCAGCTGAAATAAAGGAGACATTTTACTTTATCTCTGTACATGACATTACTAAACAAGCTTTGCAATATGAAAAGGTGATAAAATATTTCCAATATGTCACCAATATTCCAGAAAGAAGTCTAGGAAAAAGTGTGAGGAGGCAGAGTATAGCCTCATACCAGAGATGGGGTATTTGTTTTATAACAGTTGGGTAAAACAGCAGTCCCACAGCAACAACCAAGCCATCATTGTATGCAGTGTATTCACTAAAACAAGCCCTTCCCTCTCAAGGCACTGCAGCTAAAGCACTCAGAGCAACTGAGGAGGTGCTGAAAAATAGACTTCACAGTCCTCAGGTTAGAGCAAGAGAACACAGAGCACACAAAGCTGCAACAAGCATTCTGCAAGATCTTTTAGACAATCAATGTTGGAGCCAGAAATCAAATCTCTTATTTCCTTAAACTCAGTAAGTATGCTAATGATAACAAAACCCTTCCTCTAGTTATAATGGGAGTTAAGTAAAATATTGGGTATTACTGAGATACTATAATATTAACTAAACTACATAAATTACTGCAGTGAAAAAGATTTGGAAATCATTCAGCTGCATTCTGCAACTCTTCATTTAACAGAGCAGTGATATTTTTAAAAATGTGTATATTTTATTTAAAGCAATAATTAATTATATACATAGAATAAATAAAATATTCAGACATGGTTGTCAGAATTCTAACATTATTTTATAACATCACAATCTCCAGTGACCATATCACTGCAGGATAGGAAACACACATTTCAGAATCATATGAAATCTCTTGAACAATAGGATTATATGAATGTTCATTTATGGAAGATATGGAAGTCTTTTGGATTGTTTTTTTCCTCCTTTAAGAACTGTGTCACATAGTCATACATAATTTGTTAGAAAGAATAAAAAAAATGTTAACCACACATATTAGTATTGTTGGTTAGGGCTCCTAAAAAGACAAGATTCTGTGCTCAGAAATCTTCAGTTATTAATGCTGCTTCAAAAAAATCATTCCACAAATATGGAAGACCAAATAACATTTAAGAGATCAAAGAAAATATGGGTTTGCTACACATATGGTGTACATCAGAAATGTCAATGATAAAATTATACAGACCGATTTTGACAAAAAAATGGAAGGAAGAATTTTTTAATAGAGTTTTTGATAGAATAAAATGAAGACAGGAATATTTGCAAATATTCAAGGACCTAGAAATGACAGAAATGACTGAAAAATCCACTGACAGAACATAATAAGGGAATATGAAGAGCTATTTCTGATTTGCTTTTTGCTCCATTGAAGAACCTGTGCCATATTCCCTGAGGAACAGCGACAAAGAATATGACAAACATTGGACACAGATGGTTACACCAAAAGAGGCAAATAAAGAAGATAAAACTGCTAACTCTGAGCCCAGACTTCTTGCATCTGTAACTTGTAACAGAGACAAAAGAAAAGAAAGGTTGCACTAGACTATACATTTAATTTAAGCATAGGTATTATATTGAGATAAATAACCCTGAAACCTTCAACTGAATCTTAAACCAACTATTTAACACCTAGAATACAAGGTGAAATGCACTTGGTTCTTGATACTTAATAACACTTCAACTACCTAGTTGTCCCATAACTCCTTTCACTGGTACTTCTGTTTCAGACAGATTACACAGAAAGAAAGGCTGTTGCTTGAGTACTTTTGTAGTTTCTTTCACAGTGAACACACACAAACTAATCTGCCTTTTCTCCTAGGACTTTATTTTCTGCCTTTTCCTGTTTCTTATTTTCTTACATGCTCTCTTTCTGCATCAACTGGCCATACAGACTCTGCCAACTAGTCTTCTCCTCGTGTTTGAGGAATTTATTACTAGTTTTTAATAAGCTTTTTTATCATCATTACTGAATTTCGACATGTAACCCTACCAGAATTTTTCATCTTTTCCACCTTTTTCATTTTGGACATTATTTCAGCTATTTTTTTGATGCTTTTTACTTCTAATAGTATCCATGCCACCTGTATGGATATACTTTTCCTTGCTGCCTCTTTCAGGATCTTTTTTAAGAAGCTCACTCAATAATCACAAAGGAACCATCACCATCACAGAAATATTATTATCACAGTATCACCCCAAAGCTATACTACAAGTATACCATTTAAGAGTAGTTTGGTTTATTGAAAGCTGCCTTTACATCTGCAGTGGATTTAGTTTTCTGTGAGACACCTTGTTACCACAAAACTTTAGATTCCTTTCTGATTTTGAGTTCTTATGCAAAGTACTTTACCCTTTTATTGTTTGAGGAACTTCATCTAAAGACCTTCACAAACCAGATATGCAGGTTTTCTCTAAGTTGAATGATGGGTAACAAGAATTTAAGAAAAAGTCTTGATGAAAATGGTATGTAAAAACAAATTAAGACATCTGATTTCTTCAAGGGTGTAAGTTCATCAATCTCTATCTCCTCCAAAAAGCTCTACCTGTCAGCCCATGTATGTTTAAGCAAAACATACATAACATCATCGTTACTAGCCTACAATGTTTTCTTCTACTTTAAAGCTGTTTTAAAAGTCTCTAATATGCCAAAACATTAATATTTGTTATTAATTGGTAATTTTAATATTAATTTAGGAACTTATAGCTACGTGTCATAAACAAAACAATCTTCAAATCTAGGAACCAAGACTAGCTCAACTCCAGACCTACTTATCCTAGTGAGTTATTTTAACCCCCTTTGTAACACAAACATACCAAAAAATGTTGTATCTGTCATCCCATTTGCTAATATCATGATATATACACATTGTGGTAACACTACAGCTTGTAGGTGTACTGGCCTAATTTCTACAATAAAAACCTTAGTAATAAGTGGTAAATTAAAACAAAAAGACCAAAACAAACAAACAAACAAAAAAACCCTAACAAGCCAAAAAACAAGTCACTTATTCAAAGATTGAACAAGTTTGATCTTTACAAAATCCCTCTTCTATCTTTACAGTTCCCTCCTCCCCCACTTTTCCCAAATATAATCTGTTAAAGTTTGAGGGAAGGAGGAAACTATGGAAACTACTTCCACATAAAGATTTAGAGTGAAAAATTGAATGCTAACAAATTTCAGGATGCTATTCTCATCTATACAAAATTATAGTTTGAATCGAAAAAGACAGACAGATGTGGTAGTCTGCTACAGATGGCTAGAGGAAAAAACCAAAACAAAACAGAAACCAACCAGCAAAAACAACAACAAAAAAAAAAACAACCAAAAAAAAAAGCAACCAAATACACAGTACAAAACAGAAACAAAAAAACAAACAAACAAACAAACAAACAAAACAAACCACTCCAGAATATTTTCTTCTGCTAACTTCTGCTAGGGAAATCCATTTCAATAGCCATGAACTACTTGTGATGTCAGTCATGCGTGCTTTTTAGTAACAGCAAACGTGACTTGTATATCAAACAGGTGTATCTTTTCTGAAATGAGGAAGAGTTTTGCATATAAGACAGGTAAAATATATAGACGGAAAAATTTTGCTGTAAATAAATCTAGCGATTTCACTGTGCACCTACAAGGTAACTGCACTACAATATCCCATTATTAACTTACCTGTATGACTTGCAAAGATGGACATTTTTACAGGTGGGAAATAAAATTCTGGGGGTGTACAGAAAACACTAATCAACCCTGCATCAAAACTAAATATTGCCCACAAAAAAAAAAAAAAAAACAGCACTATACTTTCACATGTAATTATTACAATTTTATTTTAATAGATGATGATATTGAAATAATCTTCACTACACAATTCTGATTTTGACAGCAGTTTATTCTGTGCAGTGAGGCAGATCTGCAGTCATCTAACTAAAGGCAGTTTCATGACAGCATTTTTAAGTGAAATAGCATCCAAAATCACTGGTTTACTAAATCTGACATTTTTCTGGAAATGTCTCATTTCATATGATATTGACATTTGCAAATGCCTCTCAGGTTCTAAAAGTGAGAGATAACAGTGTATTAATATCGGAGATAGTCCTAATAAAAGTTTCTAGAATAATCCGATTACATTTGATTGACATTTTGTTTGGAAATAAAGTAAATTAGGTCCAAATCTCTCCTCCATTCAAAATGTTTGTTGTTACAGTGGATAATCTGTATACTAAAGTATACAGGAGTAACTATAAAAGAGATATGCTTTTTGCACAAAATTTTAAATAGAGGTTTGAGGACAGAACTAGAAGTTAGATTCATGACTTCTGAGTTCTATAGAAATTCTGGAAGTGTGCATGGTCTCTGTCAGAAAAATACCCTTGCTCTTTCCTCAATCTCATCTTATTCCCTATTTCATCATCATCATCCGTAGGTTGGAAAAGTAAACATTTAGACTGCACCAGCTATCTGGTGTAGGCCTATCTACTATACATTCATATTCCAGAGCATAAACAACAATGGGACAGGAATGTTAGGTCACTGCTGTAAATCCACAGCTTGAAAAAGGCAATTACTTTTCCCTTCTGCTTTAATGCATGGAAGTTACATATAATAGTTTATTGCCATAAGAAATTCTTCAGCTGTAGAAGAAAAACTGTGAGCTTCTAGCAGCACTCAAGAGAGAACATTTAATAGCTTTTTTTATTTATTCTTATTGGGTTTTGGGGGGTTTTTTGATTGGTATTTTTGGGGGTTTTGTTTGGGGGGGGTTGTTTGAGGTTTTTATTTTTTGTTTTGGTGGGGTTTTTTGGGGTGTTTTGTTGTTTGGTTTTGGGTTTTTTTTAATACTTTTCTCAACTAAACTGAATAAATTTGAATTATTTTTTTCAATCCAGGACATGACTCAAGGATTGATGCTGTGAGATGAGAAAATTACATGGACATCTTGCTTGTTCATTGGTCTCGGTGGACCTTAAGATCTAAGGAAATCATCTTGCTAGAATTTAAGATAAAAAGACTGAAATGAAAAATATTTCAAAATATGTTTTAAGCTTATGTAATATCCTGGCCTGATTCTCATACCAAGAGGTAAAACTTACATGAAGAAGCACATAAGCACCAGCAGATGGAACATCATGGGAAAAAATGTTAATATTGATTAAAGGAACAATGTAGTTGTAGGTGGTGAGGTCAACAAAACATCTGTGCTTAGCCAAACTAAAAAAGTAGGAAAAGTGACTGAAATAAATGAAACGCTTGCATCCAATTGCAAGAATATCCATAACAAAATGTAGAAAGCAGTAGTGTACTACATGAAGATAGTGAAATACCATTTGAGAAGTATTATAAAAGCTATTCTAGTGCTGTATACTACCAGGCTAACATGCTGAAAGAGAAATACTTGCAGAGGCATTTACGTACCTACCTTCTGCTTCTTACATTACAAGCTGCAGTGGTAGCACACACTGAGCCAATTCCACAGTACAACAATGATTTATAACTAAGCAACATATTCAGAGCAATGATCACCATAAATATAACAGTCCCATTGTTTAACCTTTAGCATGGCATTGTTAATGTATCATCTGGGCAAGGAAGACTCAGATATAATAAAGATTTCTTCAGTCATATTATTAGAGAATCAAGAAAGAGAAAATCAGTTGCAATATAAGAAGTTTATGATTAAGAATAACCTAGGAATGGTTAAACACTTCACTGGACAGTTGTCTTGACTTTTAGATTTAATTTTGAAATGGAAACACAGGCTGAATAGCTAAAAGCAAGGGTGTTTTGAAATATAAATGACCATATTTAAAGTGAAAATGGTAGATTTTCATTTTCTTGATTAAAAGCTACCAGTTAACTATCTCAGAGTTGTGAAAACTGTGATGTTGTATGCAACTAGATCTATTTAGAATGTTTTTAATTAAACTATTGATTAAACTATTTAATTAAACTAATGATTTTCATTAAAGTATAAAACATGGTATTATTTGGTCAGAAAACAAAATCCCAGTACAAGATTTTGAGAAGGATAATGGGAGAGTAATTCAGACTATCATAACCAAATAATACATAGGATATACAAGCACATTTTGAAGAAAATTACAAAAAACATGAAGCAAATCAAAAAGCAAGAGTGTAATAAGGGTTTTAATATGAGTAACACTGGCAAGGAGGGAGTAAAGAGGTAAAAAACCTCCTCTCAGTAGTGCCCAGTGAAATGAGAATTAATAGGCACTTCTTGTTGTACTGTGAAGATGATCAAACACTTGAACAGGTTGCCCTGAGAAGCTGTGTAGTCTCCTTCTTCAGAGATATTCAGAATCCAAATGCATAAGGTCCAGGACATTCTGGTCTGGTGGACCCTACTTTGAGCAGTAGGGATTAACTGGGTGATCTTCAGAAACTCCTTCCAAACTCAACTATTCAACGGTAACAGCAGAATTTTTTCCCCATCAGTAGGAAAGATATTCTGCCTAGTGAACATTTAATAGTTATTTCTGGGTTTAGCTAGTTAAACAGTTACCTAGTAAACCAGAATGCAGTTTTCTAACTTCAAGATCTGTATATTTTGGATACAAATCTTTCTAAACAACTAAAATACTGAACATCAGGGCTCTAGCTGAGAAAGACTGGATACTAAAACTGTAGAGATACTGCATAAATACAAATAGAAGCTGTAGTTATTTCTTTCATCTGCTAAAAGTCAAATAGATTTTTGTTTATCTGAGCAACGTCTCTCAAATTTCCTAATAAATACTATAAAGTATAAGCATGAATTTTGGATTGTACTAAGACCTGTAAGGATGCTTATGCTTTGTGATATATAATACAGCACAGTGAGAAAATACTATAAGGGTCTTGTCTACAATATTTCTGTTATTTGTGGGAATGCTAGAAACCAGCATGCTCTAAAATAAAAGCAAACCAACCAACCAGTACTAATTATTGCTAGTGGCAACTCCCTTTGAAAATACATCACAACTTTTATAGCATAGTTGACAGTTCAGTGCAAAAGAGACTCGTTTTCAAAGATGGAATGTATGACCATGATTTCTTATGCAGAGTAGGTAATTAAATGAGTAGAGTTTCAGGAACTTAAATATGTAGCTTCAAAACATTTCCAAGCTCCCTTCTGACTGTACAGTGGAGAGGGACTTAGATGCATCACCTCCCTCTGCTTTTTCATGTGTTAGTTTCCATGCACAGAAAATCGAGGCATGTAGCCCAGACAGCAGTCACAGTATATCCGAACAGAAAATGTTGGCACAACCTGAATCATATCTGTGACGGTGTCTATGCACAGAAATTTTTATTCACTGTGTACAAAACATACAATTTGAATGTGAGTCTGTGACCACTGCATTTTTCATGTTTCCTATCTCACTGTTTCTCAAGTCTAACTGCAGGACCATCTATCTTTTAAGAGGCATCTCACACAGTGGTGCCACAAAATTAATTTGTTTAAACATAATTTTGTATAGATGAGAGCATGTATGCACAAATTTTATTCAGTTTACTTTACAATGGCTTCCTGAATTAGTTTCCAATATCTTACAGATTAAGGTCTTATTCATTATAACACCGTACCTGATATTTAGCATCTTGAGAGTTATAAAAGAAAATATTGTATTTTAAGCAACATTTTCTACTAAATAATTAATCAAAGATCTTTTTTTCTGGTTTTAATGCTAAAAGAGAACTAGATGCTACAGAAAATTAAAGGGGGAAAAATTCAGAGTAGAATCAAAATAAAGTAACTATTTCTCAAGAGCTTTTACTTTGAATTAAATTACAGCACTTATGAATCAGAAAAGTCTGGCAAATAGGACAAACATACATAGTCACAGAAGCCTAACAACCTAGATTTTTAAATTTTCACTTACGGCACTTAGCTTCATCATGGCTATTTGAACAGTCAGGTGTAGAATCAGAAAATTTGTCTGATGAAATACATTGTCCATCTCCACATGAAAGATGTCCCAGTGGATGGTAAAAAGATGAAGAATTAGCATCCACAAATTCTGTTTGTCCTTAAAAATCAGAAAAGAAAATGTAAGTGTATACATATATATGAAATCCAAAGTGCAAATTTTTATAAACTTTGAATATAGTAATGTACTCAGCATGAGGAACAGCATCACCTTGAAATGAGGTAGATTATATCACAACTGGTAAGAAACACAGCAGATAATGTCTGAATTCTTAAATTATGTATTATTCTCCACTACATTCAAGCTTTTCTATGAAAAATTATCAATAGCACCACATAGCACCAAAGTTCCATGGCCTGCCTCCAGTTCAGAGGTGAGGTGCTATGTACTGCAGCCTGCTGTTTCCCTGCAGTCAGAAGCAAGGTCTTTCACAAAAGCCTTCTGCTATAGTGGTGGCTTCTCTGCATTCACTCACAGTGAAAATTCAAAGAAGCCAAATGTTTGATGTTTCACCAGTGCTAGCTTGCACCTCAATCTACACATTAGAAAACATGCCAGATTTCAATGAAAGGGGAGACAAAAAGCCAAGGACTACTGGTTATACTTCAGTAGATTTCTGGAAAGAGATCAAGTGAGAGGAATATCATTCAACTTTTCACATTTTTCACGTAAATTTTTTAGCTATTCATATTGCTATCCAGACCAAGTTTTTTTAAAAATCACTCTCTTTGAAAAATATCTATGTTACTGATGGGTAAATAGGGCAGTTATAGGGAAAATAATTAAAATGAAATTAATGTTTCTTCAAATACCTAGCTACCATCAGTCTTATTTTATAGAGGCATCAGAGAGGTCTTAAAGCCACAGCACTGAAGTTTTCTATTATGCCTTTAAATTTTTCAATAATAGAGACTCCATCATTACTACTGACTGTTTATGTACCCAGGCAATTTTAAAAAATGTCCTTAGTAGTCAGGAGGACTAGAAGCAGCAGCCTGGCAGAGGCTACGCTATTTTATATTTTCATCCATTGACACTTCAAGATTACAGAGTGTGAGTGTACAGATAAGTTTGGTGGATACTTACTGTGTATGTTAGGCATTTGACAGTAAAGATAGGAGAACCCTCTTGCCCTAAAAACAACGCAGTGGAATTTATTCTTCGGTGGAAGTTACAAGATGCTTTGCTTCTGTCTCTGCATCCAAGTGTGAATGTGGGCAGGTACTATGTAGCAAGTGGTAGCTGGAAATTCCTACCACAGCTCACGTCACAGAACTGGTGCAAACTACTTATGAAGACTCTCATCCCATGTTACACACTAGCTGGTATTAGAGATTACAGCATATGGACTTTTCCCTCACATTATCCCCTACTTTCTTAAAGGTATCTCGAACTTGTTAGTCAAATCACAGTTATACATAACAGACATTGAGGAAAATGTGTTGAAAACCACAGGACTTGCCTTCCCTTTCTTGGCTGGCACCTGGAAGTGATTTATTCACAACTCCACATTCCTCTGTTATACTGATGTCATCAACAGCAACAGTAGCATTTGTTGTTAGAATAGTAGCTCGTAAAATAATCTGTAAAGACAAATAAATAAGCTCACTAAAGGTGACATGATAAAAGATGTATATACATATTTATTTCTAATTTATGACATCTGTACGGGCATTAAATACGGCCTACAACCAACTCTGAACACCAGCCAGCAAAAACTACAGTTGAGATTTGATCAAAGTTAGAAATCTACTCCTCAATTGTCACATCCATAACTACCTTTCCTTATGAAAAGTTATGCAACTCAGATGACCTTGCTTCAATCTAAACCAGTAAAAGTCTTCATTACTTGAATGAATTCCTGCCTGCTGGAAAAATTCAAAGTTTTAAAAGTACATCTTTTAAAATGAGCTATTAAGGTTTATCAAATACGATGGTTTACAACTCTGATGGTTTTTGTCTATACTATGCCTGCTGTACATGTGGTACAGTAAATGTAGGGATTGTACGGAGGTATTTGTAAATACAAATAAATATTTAGGAGACCATAAAAGGAAGTAAAATTCAGTCTAAATTTACCCATAATTAGTATTTAGTGCCCTTTCTTTTAGATGACACAAAATTAGGATATGAAAACTGGATTTTTATTTTCTGAATCCTTATAATTGAGTTGCTGATTCCCTTAACAGTTCCTTTCTAAGTTTTAGTGAAGTGCAGCAGCCTGTAAAAATAAACTTAAATTTGAAAGCTGCTAATTGTTTCTGTGATCAATACTGCAAACTGAAGTATCTGCCCTTCTTCCTTTAGCCAACGCAATTAAACCCTCACTCTGATCAGCACTTTTTATAGCAAGTTCATTTTTTAAAAGTTACTACACTATTGCTACTTGACTTTTATTACAGAAAGGTTATTCTAATGCATCCAATACCAAAACAACACTGATGATCTTTAATAGCTGCATCTATTGAAAGATCTGAATAGAATTTTTTTATATGAGCATTAAAAAGTAGAAATTTTCTTTTTATATTTCAGTATAAAAGTTAATTAATTCAAAAGGCCAAATTAGAGTAACTTTTTGGAAACAATGTAAATGTAAGTTCTAATTACCTGAAAAGGTAAGTCCTCGGCTGTACCTTCTACAGGTATATTCACTTTTGTCCACTGCATCTCAGGCAATCCTGAAATGTCATGCAATTTTTCCAAACTTCCATCCGTTGCAGTTTTCTTAAAGACAGAAAGCTGGGAATCCTGAGATAACCAGTACCAAAATCTTACCTGTTTAAAGAGTTTATAATGAAACACCTTAAAAACTACATAACTGCAATAAATTCAGTACTGACTCAAATATGTACCTTATAACAAGGAATAACATAACAGGCCTAAACACAGGCTTGGCATAATATAAAGATGTATGAAACTCTGACATGTTGAGGAGCAGTAATGTCTAAATATAAAACCATATGTCCAAGTAAAACTTGTTTGTAAAACTTACTTTTAACTTCTATCTATCAACTGATGCAGACTGACTGATATGACTTCCCATAACTCTTTTTAGCTTAGTAAGGACTTAGAATCCTCTCAAAAATTATTTTTCTTTGCAAATGCTGAATATAGGAAAGATTCATATGTATGTTAATCTCAGAACTGCAACAGCTGAGATATTTACATGAAAAAAAATCTTATTTTCTATTTCTAAATTCAACACAAATGGAAATTATCTTAAAACAGATACTTAAAATAATCTATTGAACTCCTGAAACAAGTGGATTGACCAATACATAGGAAGATAAAACAACTGTAGGTGCACAAGGCTGCAAAAACCTGCTTGCCAAGCAGAGAAGATCAGAAAACAGGAAGAATCCCAATTCACTATGCCTCCTCTGCAATACAGAATGACTTTTTTTTTTTTTAAATACAACCCAGACAAAAATTCAACTGAAAACTGCAGTGAAAAAATAAGATTTCCAAGACTGATTTCTTTTTTCCCCTCCTTCTCCCTGAGTCCTTGCTGCTTCTTTGCATAGTAAAAGGCTAAAATTTATTCAACTGCAGATTCTTCACTTCTCTGCAAAAGCCTTGATAATACTTGAATGTTTGTGAAGGTTAAAACAAGAGCTGTAAAAATAGCTCTTCCCATCCAGTTCTCTGCCCATCTTCATATGATCCTACACTGTGAATCTTGGTTAAACACAGTACAGAGAGAAAGTTTCCTTGTATTTTTTCATGTTATACCAACTTTCAAACAAATTTAAAGAATATAGACCGTTTTTTTATAATAACCATCTGAAACATATGTGGGTTTGGTTTGTTTTGTTTTTGCAAGACAGTAGCAAATATGAGAAAACCCATCTTAAGCCTCAGGACAAACACAGACACTTCTGATAGCCAGCTTTCTGTCAAACGTGAGAAAGTCTTTTATCTGAGCAACAGCTGACACAATAGCATTGTACCAGGGACTGTAAAAGGCAAAACAACCTTAGGCTACTGGTGTAATTTTTACTTAATTTACTGTGAATTAATGTAAATTTCTAATCACTGGTTGGACTACCGAGAAAAAAGAAAAAAGCAAACAAACACTTAAGCACAAACTTGATTCCTCCCCCTTCCCCAGAGCCAGTTTAAGTCAAACACCCTGCCCCCTCCTAGTCTTAATTTCCCCCCATTTTTGCTGCATGTTACACTCACTCTAGCCCAATTTCTTTGGTGAGGCAACAGGGGAAACAGAAGTTTGGGCATATGAGTAATAGTTTCTTTCTCATACTCCCTATGCATTCTGCTCCTCTTCTCATTGCTTCTTACCTTCTTACTCTTTTTCCCTTGTTTCAGCTCAGTCCCTCTGGCTATCCCATCCCCAGGGTGTGTCACCCACAGCCACAGTCCCTTGGGGGAATCATTGTCCCCTTGTCCTAGTGTGGGTCACCCACAGCTTCAGTCCTCTCAGAGCCATACCTCCTCAGCATGGGCAACCTCCTTCTGCAGGTACATCTCCAGATGTGCCCCTAACAATATCCCCTTCTGCACTTCTCCTTGTATGTCCCCAAGAGATTTTTTTTTCCTTTTTCTAAGGGAAATAGTAGTTTAAGAGTAACCAGACTCTGAGAGGAGTCTTTTCTTCAATAAATTATCACATGAATTTGAGAACTCCTTTACATTCAAATAATTTACTAATAATCTGAAAATCGTCTTGCATGTGGATTTTCATTTCTGTCCCTGAATTTAATCCATAAAGTTGGCAAATACACCAAAGACACATCTGCTGTGTGTGAAGGAAGACTTTCTTTTTGCTTGCATTATGTAGTACAAGATGGATCAGTGGTTAGGAAATGTTCTTGTTACAACACACTATTCCTTTTTAATATCTTCTGGCTTCATGGTTAGTGGAGTTAGTTTCTTGATTTCCCGTAGTGTATTCTCATGAGTGGGAAAAAAATGAAATGTATTATATAAACTTATTAATAATTTGAAATACTTTCATGTAACTTTTTCCCTGTCAGAAAGCTTAAAGAATACAAAGCAGCAGGTATACCCTTTTCAAAATGAGCTATTTGGAGAACTGTACCCTAAAGAATCTACATGTAAGGTTATGTTTATCAAACAGCTTTTCAAACAAATTTGTGCTTTTTATTTCATAAGAAATGAAGTTATCCTCCTTCTCTAAGTCAACATATTCTACTTTACAATGAGTACTGTGTCCATTAAAGAGCCATAAGCAGACAGCTAGGACAAAAGGTTTGCTCCTACAACTCCAAAACTTTGAGCTAAATAAAGATGATTCTTGGCTGACATCTACAGAAAGACAGCTACAAGAAGATGCAGAAAGAAGTTAACTTCTAAGTTTCAATTAGCCAACAAGGCATAATTTAAAATGGTTATCCCTCACCTCAAATTATTTTTTTTATTTTTTTTAAACAACTGGAGCCAAAGAACTTGTAAAACCGTTAATAAACATACATCTCTATGTAGATCCTTTTATCCTCTCAGTGGGACATCCAACAGAGGGCAACATCTCACATTTATACACAGAGAGAATAGCACACCAATACACATCCTAATGAGCAACCCCTACTCCTTTCTCTTTCCCAGAAATAAAAGCCTTCAGGGAAAATGTGGCAGAAAGCCAGGCTTTCTCTCTTCAAAAACACTTTTCAGATATATACGGCTGGGTAAGAACTTACTCTAGTTTTTGTTGAATCTGGGAATTTTAAATATATTCAGTGAGTGCACGCTCAAAATTAAAAATTGTTTCTTCCCTGACTTTGAACTAGAGAAATATATGTGCATGCCTGCTGCATCTGTATTTATTTTGAATGCAGACCAAATTCTGCAATAGATTTAACCAGAACGATTCACTGATTCACATACCAACTGTGCCCCATTCACCTTAAGGGGTTAAATTAGGATAATTTAAGCAATAAGCAATAATTTAACCTGAAAGGTGCTTATCTACTCAGTATCAAAGTCTAATAAAGAGATATGAAACCACCTGAACAAATGTACTGTGCATACAAGGCTGTTGGTGTCCCAGGAGTAATGCAATATGCAGGGCTCCGATGGGATGCTGCAAGGCCTTCTGCGCTCCCTGTAGCAGCATTCTGCTTGATTTCATTTTGCATCTATTTCATTTCTGATTCTTTACAACACTAAAAAGCCATGTGAAGATTAAGAGCTGAGAGAGTGTGTTAAATGACAGCAAGAAGCTGTTCTTAAATTGTTTAAGAGATTTCTACTCCTCAGTTGCAAGTAACACCTGTTCAACTGAGATCCAGTGACAAACTGATGTGCATAGTCTAAGTCAGCTGCAGTCTCAAAACAGGTTTATCTAAGCTGGAATATAATTCTATTTGTTGGGCCTTCTAAGTGAAGTTCCTCCACACACTTTTTGTTTTGAAATAATTTTTCTAACTAACATTACTGTTTCTGTTCTATTTTAAGTCTGAAAAATTAAGCAACCAGT